GCCCTTGGGGGGGAGTGCGTGTGCAATTCCTGATACCTAATCAGAATTTCCCTTGCTGCAGGTTACGCCTGTTGCCTCTTGTCCTTTTGCTGTGTCCCACAAAGAACAATGGGGCTCTAAAATCCCCAGTCCCCCTCTAGGTAGTCTCCAACAACTGTTAAATCCCTCCTTCTCCAAGCTGAACTAACCCAGCTCTCTCCGCCTCTGCTGTGCTCCAGCGTCCTCACCACCTTAGTGGCCTTATGCTGGATTCTGTCCAGTTTCTCAGTGTCTTTTTTACAGCAGTGCAGATGTGGGTGTCTTTTAATTAGCTATTTCATTTATCTTCTCTTCTAAATTTGTTCCTCTGCTAGCTGAGGCTTGGCTCCACAAAGGATTTACAAGATGAGATTCTACCATCTGTGTTGTACTGAAAGCCAAACAACAGTATAAGAGTAGTCTCTTTGCTGAAATCTCTTGACCTGTTAATTATATTAAGAAAGTATTTTAGCAGCTCAATTATAGTCTGCTGTTGCATGCTGCAGCCATTCCGGAGAGCAACCTCAAAGATACCAGCAAATTGCTTCTCTACTGTGACATTTCCCTCCCCTACCAGCAGGAGCTCCTCGTTGGTAGTTTTTAATTAGGCGGCCCAGATCAAAGACACCAAGGCAGCTGTGTGCATCCAGTCCTTTCCTGAGCTGAAAGCAACCAGAAGTATAAATCAATTCTGTAAATTATGTGATCTGGGATTTGTATCCACACAAATACTGACATGTGGGTTACACTGCACCCCGTGGTTTGTCCTACTGGAGGATACTGAATTACATGGGCTTAGTGCTAACTCACCCTTTCTATTCTGATCTGGACTCTTTGCTACCTTGTTCTTTCCCTGTTCCCCTGTGCCCCATTAATGTTCTCTTCCTCGGGCAGATTTTCTGCTTCAGCCAGTTCATAAGGTGTAGGGATGCCTAGGTTTTATTTTTGTCTGCCGTGGCTTCATATCAACCCTACATAATCTAATATTCTTTTGATATCAGGAATCCTTTTTTGGGACTTCTGCCCAAAAGTTCCTGTCATTTCTGTCCCACCACTAAACAATATTTTTTTCCTGTGCCGGTGCTAGACTGGCTCAGATTTAGGTGCAGTCTTTTAGGTGCAGCTTCTACAACTTTGTGTTGAAGTTGTTCCCTTGAGCCACAGGTCTCTGTGCCTTTAAAGTTTCCTTTTTTTTAATATCAGTTTTAAGTCAGTACAGCTGGATCCCTGCAGCTCACCACATCCTAGCTCACCATGTGTGTGAAACTAGAAGTATTTCAAAGGAAGCTGTTGTAGGTGCCTGGGCTGCCTTTCTAGCAATGAAGTTTAGCTTCTCCCTCGTCTCTCCTGTACTTCCCTTTGTTGTTAGTTTCTGTCCTGGCCATGAGTTTTGTCTTAGTCATTGCTGGCAGCCTGTTCAGCTTTTTGCAGGATTTCCCAGTCTGATGGCGTGTAAGATACTTGAAATGGGCAAGTCTCTTGCTGTTCCTGCTGCCCACACTATCACACAGGGTAGCTGAGATGGCCCCAGGGAAGAGTCAGGCTCCTTTGCCAGCTGGATTGCCCTCTTTGGCCACTGCTTAGCTCCCATTCTTTCACGAGGCCTGCAGACCTTGAAACCAGTGCTGTGTAAAAGGGCAGTCATGGAGCGTAGCTGGAAATGGGTAGGTAACTGGAAATGGCTAATTTTCCTTCTTTGTATCTGGCTGTCCAGGTTGACAGCTTTGGCCTCAGTATGCTGTACTGGGATCTTGCAGGAACTAGGCTAAGCTGTCATGGTGCTGTCGGGCCCACTGCAGGTAATAGCTCTTTGCCCTGCTCTCTGCCTGCTTTTCTGGGGAGCTTCAACACCACCTCCCACCCCATCCCTTTCGAGCTACTAATGCTCGTGTCAGTCGCATCCCCCGGCAGGCTGTTTTCAGGAAGGCAGCGCTGTGCTTAGAGTGCTAGCCTGGACCTCAAAGTCTGCAGCTCTGGGTTTGCAGAGATTCCCCCTGTGGCTGTACAGAGCACGTAGGATATTTACCTGCGCAGAGGGCTCATCAGCGAGCCGGAGTATGGAGGTTTCAGCTGGGTAGCAGCAGAGCCAAGCTGTGTGGCTGGGCGGTCATAACCTGTACTAGGGTGCTTCACTGCTCAATGTGTGCCAGTGTGTGCTGCCTGCTTCAGCCTTGCAGGTGTGTTGGTGACCCCAGGCAGCTGTGGTCCCCTTGGCACCACGGCAAGGGCTGGGGAGCACTCGTGTCTCTCACTGGCCTTTTGGGGAAGAAGGGGAACAGAGGACATGCAGAACTGAATTTTGTGAGCACAGCCGGGACCTAAGATGCACTTGTAGTGTCAACCCTGGTGTGAAAAAAGACAGGGTACCCAAGAATAACGGGGGGGGTGGGGAGGAAAGACACAAAAGGAGAAGCAGAAGTGTGTGCAAAGCAGCTTGGGGCTGGGGAGTTGATGGCTCAGAGCGCTTCCTGTTCCTGGAGCTGCGCGTGCCCAGCTGCGCACAGGCTTGCGCCTCCTGTGCCCAACAGCACTGTGCAGAGGGCCAGAGAGCAAGGCACGTACCCAGAAACAGGTGGATGGAGGGGGTCTGAATGGAGTGATGGTAGACGCCAGGAGAGATACATGGCCAGCTCCCAAGAGGCGCAGAAACAGCTTGGCGTTGGGTGCTCCAGCACAGACCTCCGACTTCCCGTTTCTCGCCAGCGCAAACTGATTTTTCCTCTCTGTTTTTTGAGTTGCTTTGGTGGTAGCCACTTGGTCCCCTCTTCTTTTGCCCTCCACGATGGTGAGGTAAGAGGGGCTGAGAAGTGTGTGTGTTTAGGGAGGGGGACCAGGAAAGTAGGACAGATCAGAGAAGGGATCATCCTGGAAGCTGTATCTCAATGGAAACCTTTCACAGGCTGCGGGAGGTATCACGTAGGAAGGGATGTTGCTGCTGCTGGCTGTCAACCTGTATGGGTATCTCTAGGGATGCTGACCGGGGACCATTCTTCACTGTACAAGTCTCCACGTTAGTGCCTGGCCTTTTTTATTCACCTGGTCTTGTTTTTATTTCCTCTGCTAGGTGGTTTCACCGTGACCTGAGCGGGCTGGAAGCTGAAGCCTTACTGAAGGGACGAGGTGTCCATGGAAGCTTTCTGGCCAGACCCAGTCGGAAGAATCAAGGGGATTTTTCTCTTTCAGTTCGGTAAGTAACTTGGACCCCAACTTCTGTCTTTCCAGGGTTGCAGAATGCTTAGATCCTCACATGTCCTGTGGCATCTTCTTCATCCCATCCTTATTCCTTTGAGTTCTTTCCAAGCTGTAAAAGGACCTGAGCTTCCCAGCATCTTCCAGACCCTCCCTCAGGTTGCCCCAGGAGCTTCTCTTTCCAGTCATCTCCTTTCACTGGGACCGAATGCTCTGGTTCCATGGCAGGAGGTAATGCAGAACATTTTCCGCCTCTTTTCCAACCGCCTCACTGGACTGCTCTATGCATCATCCCACAGGGTTGGTGACCAGGTAACCCACATCCGCATCCAGAATACTGGGGATTTCTATGACCTGTATGGAGGGGAGAAGTTTGCCACCTTGTCAGAACTGGTGGAGTATTACACGCAGCAACAGGGCTCGCTGCAGGACAAAGATGGAACCATCATCGACTTGCGATACCCGCTCAACTGTTCCGACCCCACTACAGAGAGGTACAGAGAAAGCAAAGCAGCTGGTGTGTCTGGACATACCTTGACCGATCACAGCAGACCTAATAGGGCTCTGTTTTTACTTCTGGTTTCCTGTTGCCTTTGCTATTTATATACTGTTCCTAAAAGCAAAGGTTGTGGTGTTAGTTATCGGTCTGCAGTGGTCCGTAGAGTGACATGTTATGGAAGCCCTCAGCCTTGCCCCAAACCTCCTTGGTTATTCCAGGCCTGGGTGGCTCACGTAGCTGAGAGCAGGACCATGTTCCCCTGCTATTCCGAGCTTGCTTAGTCTCCTTCCTGTCCCCGCTTTGCATATGTCTCTGACACCAAGTTCCTAAATCAAATCAGGTGGTTTTGCCCTTGTGTTGTGCTTTCAGGCTCTTTGTTGCAGCTCAGGGAGCAGTCGCACCGTGCTCTGGGGCGGACAGGTCCTCCTTGCCCACCTGGAGACAGAGAGCAAAGATGCCCTGGGTGAAGCGCCTGGGTACGCCCCTGCTTGCTCTGGGGTCAGGCTGCAGAGGGGCCAGCATCTGCCTGCCAGCTGTCCTCTCCACTCAAGGCCGTTGGGTTGTGGCCCTGCAGTTTCCTCCCTTCCTCCCTGCGGTTGGAAACTTCTCCCCCCGCCAGGCTCTTACGAAAGCTCCTCTCACTCTCTCCCCAAGTGATTTTCCATCACGTGGCTTTGAAGAGCTGGGCTTTACTGGGGGAACGGAGGGGGGGAACGGGACCCATTAACCCCTTCCTACCTGTGGAGGGGAGGCCCGGAGACCTCTTTGAGCAGGAGAGGTCAACCATTCCCCGGGTGGCATCTGAGCACTGGCACATGGTGGCTGAACCCTTCTTTGGGAGGAGGATCGGAAAGTAATGACTGCCATGCAATGGAAGTCACCAGCTATTTCTTGTAGTGCGTGAGGCAAGGATCAACAGAAGTTACTTGCCAAGGCACAACAACCGCCTGCCACGTCTTGTTGTCAAAATGGTTCCTAGATGTTGTGTAGAGGAATGTGTTAGTCTGGCCAGATACAGGGGTGAATGAATGCCCCGGCTGCTTCTGTGACTGGGGCAGGGCCTCCCAACCTCCATTTTAATTCTTGGGAACAGACAGCCCTAGCAATGTGAAGTTCCCCATAGATGCCAGTACCACCCCAGGCATCCACTGTTAGCTGCTCTGTGGGCAGCAAACCTGCTCCCACAGCTCTAACCACACTGGCTCATCTACCAAACATCAGCCTGGCCTTGATGGCAGTGTGCACAGTGACGTATGGAGCGTGTCTGGTGCTTGTTGTGGTACCTGCAACGAGCGGGAGCAGGGAGGGGCGTTGCAAGTCAGTCTGACGCAACAGCTACCTGCTTTTGAAATGCTGTTCACCAGGGGAGATGGCCAAAACGGCTGTGACTCCAGCTGCTGAGGCAGCTCTGTGGAAGCGGGACAGAGCTGCAGTGAACACGGCCTTTGGCTGGCATAGCAGCTGTGCTCAAAGGCCCCCGAACGCAGAGCCCAGCACACGGCTCCAGCTGGAGATGGGGATGTCCCAAGACTGGAGCGGCCTGCTTGAACCGGGCCCATCCCTGCTAGAGGAGAAGGGCCCAAGTCCCCTCCCTGACACCGAGCTGGGAAGGAGGGGAAGGGGCTGGGGCAGGAGCACCAGGGCTGTGGTGGCCCTTGGGCTGAGATGGGTTCAGACCCAGTAGAGGCTCCACCAGAAAAAGGGTACCGGGAGGAGTGGGATGATTCAGAGCGTTTCCCAGTGCCCAGAGCACCTCACAGCTCTCAACTTTCTATAATTTGGATCTCTAGCTCCAGCTTCCAAGCGAGTTTTGTGGAAGCAGGACAGAGCTGCAGTGAACGTGGCCTTCTGCATCTCTACTTGCCAGCTCAGCAGTGCCCCCCAGGACCTTCTGGTGCAGTTCAAAGAGACTGTGGAGCTTGGGACAGGCATGAGGAACTAGAGGATCTACACAGAGACAACCTGGGTCACATCTGGAGTTTCTGGAGGAGAGGCCAGGGTTGTCCCATCTCCCAGCTTGCTTCTGGTGTCCATCACTTGCACCCACACCACACGGTGCAGTGAGATCCCACCAGGCAGGCACACCCTGCCCCAGAGACCTTTATAGGTGGGAACGGGCTTGGCAGCAGCTGGGCCATTTGCACCACGCTTGTGTCCCTCTGCGCCCTTGGTCCAGTCCTGCAGCAAGGCAGAGATCACCTTGGTCAAATGGGGATGCTCCTCACCTTGTGCTGAGAGGAGAGAAGGAGCTGCTGACTGGGTGTTTGCATTGAGGACAGGAACGTGCACATGCATCAACAACAGTGATAAGTACCAGGAGCAGAATATGGGCTCCAGGTGGCTCCCGGTGTTCGCTCCCATGGCTAGGCTGATTGCTGCAGTGTGATGTGCCCAGAGAATGGGAATTATCCTTTGCTTGAAGAGGTGACTGAGTTTCAGAAAGAGGGGTCACTGGGATGGTTCTTTAATGGATCTGATCTCAACACAGCCATCTGGGTGCTGCTAAATTCTATGGGAGAGTTTCTGACTCACTGGGGGTTTATTTTTTTTCCTTGGTGTTTGAGTTTCCAAAGCACCCTGCAGCAATAAGGCTAGAAACCCAATAATGCTGGGAGGTGCTGAAAGCCACAGACTACCCTTCCCCAACTGGTCTTCAAGCCTGCAAGCACTCCTTATCTGTGCTTGTGTGTATAACACAACTGGATCAAACTTGGCGCTTTCCCACTGTGTCCTCTGGTACCAGCATTCTGCTCCCCGGGTCCCTTCTACCTCCACCTCATCCCTTGCCCTTTCCTTTTCTCGCCAGCTCTCTACTTCTTTCTGTCTCATCTGCTTTTCCCAAGATCCTGCTCCTCCCTTGGTTTCCTTCCCTCTCTCTTTCCTTCCCCTCTGTCTTCCCCTTCCTTTCTTCCTCCCTCACCCTTCCCCAGTGTTGCTGTCCTTCACTCATCAGCTCAAGGGCATCCACTTACCTGCATCTCCACCTCTCTTCTGACCCTCTCTTGTTTTTTCCTAGGTGGTACCATGGGCATCTGTCAGGCTCTGCAGCTGAGTCACTTCTCCAGGCCAAAGCCACCCCTTGGACCTTCTTGGTGCGGGAGAGCCTCAGCAAACCTGGGGATTTTGTCTTGTCTGTTCTCACTGATCAGCTTAAACCTGGGCCTGATACTCCACCAGCTGGGGCAACCAGTGCCTCTGGGGCCCGGCTCAAAGTCACGCACATCAAGATCATGTGTGAGGTGAGCAGTTGGGAGAGCAAAAGGAAAGGGAGTGGAAGAGGTCTCTGCCGATCTCTGCTGCTCATGTCCTCAAATGCAAGAGCCCTGTCAGCTTGATTACCACCAGCAGTTTTTCTGAATTTGGATCAAAGTGCTGTCACCTTGCAGGTTCCTTATGTCCTCTGCCCAGCCTGGGTGGCCATGGGCAGTGCTGGGTGCTCAGACATGGGAGGAAGCAGGGCTCAGTGTGACTGACAACTGCAGTACAGGCAGTTTGTGGTGAAAGAGAGAGAAGGATTCACAATCTAATTACGAGTTCATCAAAAGAGTTAAAAGCTCTTGGAGGAGGAGGAGGGGCATCGGCAAGGCCTCCACACCTAGTCTGAAGGATGTTACCAACCTGGCTGTCACAAGTTCTCCTATTTCTTTCATGCGGGATGATGCAGAGAGTGGAGGGAGATTTCAAGGACATAAAGCAACTGACCTTAAATGAGAGCTGAGGGCAGTATGCCTTCTCTAGGCTTCCATCCACTGAGAACAGGAGTCAGTTCACCATACTATGAACTTAGTGTTCTTAGGGCAAACTACCATTTGACCTCCCTCCAGAGGAAATGCTTTTCTAGATGGCGCAGGGTGGTGCCTATGGCTTTGCACCCCTTAGCGTTACCTTTTCCCTGAGCATTATCAGCTTTGTCCATAGGAATGTTATGAGTGGGACATTACACATTCTTCCTCCATTTAGAATGGACGCTACACAGTTGGAGGTGCTGAAATGTTTGACACCTTGGCAGATCTGGTGGAGCACTTCAAGAAGACTGGAATTGAGGAGGTGTCTGGCTCCTTTGTGTACTTGAAGCAGGTAGATCCCATTTCCTGTGTTTCTTAGGGATCCTTTGGAGAGACCCACTTGCTGTTTGTTTCTGCTTTGTGTCCTTCTTCTCCTTCTCTCCATAGCACACAGAGGAGACTTTGCTCTCCAGCAGCATAACTCTCTTTCATGCCAACCCATTGTGTTTTCCCATCCCCAGCCCTACTACGCTACGAGGGTGAATGCTGCTGACATTGAGAATAGAGTGCAGGAACTGAACAAGAAGAGTCTATCTGAGGACACATCCAAGGCTGGATTCTGGGAAGAATTTGACGTAAGAAACTGCTGGGGGACATTATTCTGACTTTTTGGGAAGTCCCTGTGCACCACCTCATTCTCCATCCCTGATTTCTTCCTGGACAAAATCTTCTCAGGTGTCTTGTAAATTCTTGTCAGTTTATCTCTGAAAGAAGTCTCTGTTTGGAACCTGTTCCTCTGGGGCGTGAGTGTCATCTTTAAGTGAACCCAGTGAGGTAGAACTTTCATGGTTGGGAGAACGAGTCACCAAGATAGTAAGGGCATGAACCTTGGACTTTTCAAGTCTAGGTTTGCTTTTCATTTCTCTGCTCCCCCACAAGCATGCCCATGTGTCCCCAGAGTCACCACTGTTCCTCTGAGTGCCCACCTCCCCTGTCATACATTGTGACCTTGCCATGACTATTCTCTTCTGCTCTCAGAGTCTGCAAAAACAGGAAGCTAAGCACCTGTTTGACCGTCATGAGGGTCAGAGACCTGAAAACAAGAGCAAGAACCGATACAAGAACATCTTGCCCTGTGAGTCTTGCTTCTCCACTATAAAAAAAACCCAAACAGACAGGCAGTGAAGAGCTGTCCGAGTCATCCCTGGCCCTGCCTCAGCCCGCTCTATCCTCCAGAGCGGGTTACAAGGTGTGTGGCATTGAGGATTTAAGAGCTGATGAGAGAGGTCACAGCCTTTTCCTGTCCTTGAAGGAAGGAGGGAGGGTTGCATCAAACTTACTAGCTTCTGATGGTTCATCTTAGGGGTAGAGAGATGGGAGGATGTGGTGAGATTGGTCTGACCCCAGAGAAGGAGAGGTGAAAATATAGGGCATGCTGCATCCACTGGGTAACATGAATGAGGTGGCATGGGGCAGGGAAGGAGTTTCATGTGGCTGGGCACAGAGTATCTCATTGTTCTGTTTATTCTTTTGATGCATCCTCAGTTGATCACTCCAGAGTCATCCTCCAGGGAAGGGACCCACATATCCCTGGATCTGACTATATCAATGCCAACTATGTCAAGGTGAGACTCTTGAAAGATGGCTGTATGCCCAAAATGGGGGAGGGCCTGCCGGCTCCTGCAGCCCTCCTGATCTTCCCCTGTCCACACTCAGAACAACCTGATCAGCCCAGATGAGTGCACCAAGACCTACATTGCGAGCCAGGGTTGCCTGGATGCCACAGTCAATGACTTCTGGCAAATGGTGTGGCAGGAGAACACATGCATTATTGTGATGACCACACGGGAGGTAGAAAAAGGGCGGGTAAGTAGCAGGTTTAGGTGTAGGTGTCTCGGAGCTGCTCTCTTTTCCCCTTCAACCACTGCTCTGCTCTTTCTCTCTTTCCTGCCTTCTGCCCGTCCTCACCCTGTCCTCTCTGCCCACACAGAACAAATGTGTCCCTTACTGGCCAGAGGTGGGCAGCACGAAGGAATACGGTCCCTACCTTGTGGAGAACGCTGGGGAGCATGATGCATTGGAGTACAAACTCCGGCACCTCTGTGTGTCTCCGATGGATGACGTGAGTGTGCCTGGTCAAGGGCTGTCATGGAGCCCATGGGTCTAACGGTCACTGTATGTCTAAGGCTGGGAACTGCTGGGTGCTGTGGTGATGCTGCTGTTGTATCATTTTTGGGGTTGCTGTTCCCACCTGGTTTAGGCTGGAATCACGCTGTTGGAATCACCAAGAAGTGCACAGAAGATTCCCTCTGGCTTCAGACCCGCCTCTCCCTAGGACAGAGGCCAGGGATAGGACTGGGTTGCAGTTTTACCTGTAGAGTGTTTTGTTATTATCAGGATAAGGCTGTGCGTGAGATCTGGCACTACCAGTACCTGAGCTGGCCTGACCACGGTGTACCCAGCGAGCCAGGAGGAGTGCTCAGCTTCCTCGACCAAATAAACCAGAAGCAGGAGAGCATCCCAGATGCAGGGCCTATTTTGGTGCATTGCAGGTTGGTACAGAGGCTGGGGTTTGAAGCATTCTCCATCCTTTATATAGGGTGAGGTGTAGAAAGTCTGTCCTGCTGCACCAGCTCTTCCCGGGACTTGCGAGTGAAGCTTATGCCAGCCCCCGTATTTGCTTTTTCCTCTCTGATGCCCCCAAACCAATCTCTGCTGCCTGTTGAATCCTTGACTCTTTTGTGGCATTGCTGAACAGCTGCTACAAGTGCCGCATCCTTCCGCAGAAGCAGCTGCGTTTTGTTTCAGGAGCTATATTACTCTGACCTCTGTTTGTCCTCTCCTTGCAGTGCTGGGATTGGCCGCACTGGGACTATCATCGTCATTGATATGATAGTGGAAACAATCTCCACCAAGGGTAAGAGGACCCCAACGTGTCTTGAAGTGAATTGGCCCACCCAGTAGGGCTGTGTCTTTAAGTCCAGCTGTAAAGGGATGAAAACTGTCGGGTATCAGTGGGAGAGATCCTGCCACAGCCCTGAGAAGGTTGTGCTGTCCTTGCTATGTGGTAGCTGCTGGATCTCTGCACCGTATCCGCTTATTGTGGCTTCAGCCTTCGCTGAGCTTGGGCTCTTCCTCCAGGGCCAGACTTGGAAGATGCTGAGTGGGAAAGAGGGATAGGATGTCCGTACAGGAGTAAAGAGTATGGAGGGAGGTGGGCACTTCTTGACTGAACTCCACTGTGACTGCTTTTGGTGCAGAATTGGGAGAAGGGAGTTCAGTGAACACGTCCATAAGCTTTTCTGGTGCCCCTTGCTAGGGCTGGACTGTGACATTGACATCCAGAAGACTATCCAGATGGTGAGGGCCCAACGCTCAGGGATGGTGCAGACGGAAGCCCAGTACAAGTTCATCTACATGGCCATATGCCAGTTCATAGAGACGACCAAGAAAAAGCTGGAAGTTATCCAGGTGAGAAATGGGACTCTACTTTTCTGTCCTGTGAGTCTAGGCCCTGCATGGTGCTGGCTCTGAGCCCAAGCGCTTTGTTTCCCAAGCTTTAAGCTAGCACTGGAACCTACATAGACTACAATGGTGCACCAAGATTTGAGTTCCTCCCTTTAAAATTCAGGGGACAACATTGGCAGCTCAAGTACCAACCCCTTGTTTTAATGCAGTTATTTCAACTACATTCTATATAATGCCTCCACCAAGTGCCTCCACCAAGTGCTGTTTTGTTACAAGCTGAATCTAAGACAGGTAAAGACTTTGCCCTCTCCTTTCCTCTGTCTTTCCCATCCTAGTTCTGCAGTTGCCTCCCAAGCCCTTGTGGAAAGGATTTTCTCCTACTAGCTGAGAAGTGGCATCTTTTATCTCTCTTTGTAGTCTCTGGCAGCATCCACTAGCTGCTGCTATCTGTTTAATATTCTTTAGCTGACACGTGGCACTCTCAGGCATTCCAGTGCCTCCAGAAATTTGTTGCCCCACTGTTCACTCCTGTACAAGGATACATTTGCATCCCTGCTACTCATCTCTGTGACAGCAGCGGGCAAAGTGCACTGAGCCTGAGGACTTCAGCAATCCACCAACCTCCACTGAGATCTTAGCATGAAGCTTGATTAAACAGCCAGAACTCTTCCATGATGCCTCACATGCTTCTCCCAGACCACACTCTTCTCAGCTTGGTTTTTCTCTCCTGTAGTCTCAGAAAGGCAAGCCGAACGAGTCTGAGTATGGGAACATTGCCTACCCCCCTGCAGCGAGGAATGTGCACGCCAAGGCTTCACGAAAATCCTCCAAGTAAGAACTCACCTAAACCAGAGGCCCACCTATGCCTGCCTCTGGCAATAGTCTCTCTGCTGGCTTGGCTGGGTTCTTCCTCTTGCTGACTTTTTCCCTTGTTTTCCCCTGGTCTTACAGGCAGAAAGAGGAGTCAATGGTTTATGAGAATTTGGGGAAAAAGGAGGAGAAGGTGCGGAAACAGCGCTCCTCAGAGAAGAAGCTGAAAGGCTCACTAAAGAAAAAATAAGCATACATTGCAGGTAGCCCCATGGGGTTTTGAACCTGGAGCTCATGTCCAGGCTGGCCTGCCTCGCATTCCTTGCTCTTGGACTGGGACTAGGCCTTCCCCTTTTCTTCCGTGCCACTTTGCAGTGCCCTGAACCAGACTGCTTTCGAGGTCAGCTGACTGACTTCATTGTCCTTTGCCTGTGCTGCTCCTTCATCATTCATTAACAGGAAAAAATCACACCCCTTCTTTCCCTTGCTCTCTGAGCACTGGGGCCCAAACTCACCTCTGCTGTGTCAGCTTCAGTGGACTTCTTGAGGAAGAGCTAAGGAAGCTCTTTACAGGAGCTACATCTCTGCCCACTGCTGCAAGTTAGAGTTTAGCCTGTTAGTGTTCCCTGAAGCCTCATCTTTTAAAATCTGGAGGTTTTGGCCTGTTCAAGCTCAGCTCCTCTGTAATTCAACAGGAAACTTCCTCTTGCCTTAATACCAACCCTCTGCTCTATGATCCCTTTTCTACTTGATCCTTTGATCAGATGCTGTAAATATACTAGAATTTGATGTGTGGCCATGTTTTCTCCTTTGTTTGTAAATAAATGTGTATTTGTTTGAATGGTGAGTCCCAAAAGTTTTTTCTATAATTTCTCTTTGAGTATAGCTGTACTCCTGGCTTCACTTGCAGCCTTGCAAAGACTTACAAGAATGGCTCCAGCTTAGTTTTCATCACTCCCTGCAGCCTTCAGACTCCTGAACAGAAGCTGTGACCAATTACGGTGGCTCCTTGCTGTGAGACTTGAGTGTTGGTAGTTGTCAGGTAAGTCTGAGCGCAGACTGTGACAAACTCAGACGCAGGCTTTTGCACTTAAATTTTGGTATTTGGAAGAGTCGTCCTCATGCCCCCAAATCACTAGTCATTTTGTCATCTGTCTCATCTGTCTTTGGTGGTATCCCTCAGCTGGAGGGTAGGTCATAAGGGCTGCTTCAGCAAACAGTGTAGTGCCTGACTGCTCCTTCCTACGTACCATTTAGTAGAAATGAAACTTTGTCTTTATGGAGAAGGTAGACCAGAGCATGGCCACATTGTGGCTTCACAGATACTAGTCAGTCACCTACAAGAAGGGGCTAAGGGAGCTGGATTGTTTAGTCTGGTAAAGAGGAGGCTGAGGGTTAAACTACAACTTCACAGACAGCTGGTAAGAAAATTATGGTAGTGGCAGATAATAACACCAGAGGCAATGGTCCCAAATCGCAGCTTGGGAGGTTCAGGTTGAACACTAAGACTGCTTTTACCAGACAGCATTCAAACAGAGGCTCAGAGGGGGAACCCTGTCCTTGCAGGTTTTCAATACCTGAATGGACAAAGCCACAGCTGATCTGACCTAGTGCTGGTAATAGTGCCACTTGCAGCAGCAGCCTGGGCTAAAGACCTCCACCACTATTTATATCACTCTGTGAATACTGGAAAGCATTCCTTAGTGGTGGAGCCCATCCTTGGTGGTGTTAGAATGGGCCTCACCATGGTTTTTAAAGTCTTTCCAGTTAAAACTAGGCCCCAGCCTGTGAACCATACCCAGGAACCATTTGGGAGAATGCTGAAGGAGTTTGGATAAAGCCACAGCTAAAGAGTGCAGACCTGAACCTTTCTGTGGCAGCTGGCCACAGATCACAGAGAACATGCTGGGGAACCCTTAATTTACAGGTGCAGGCACTGCTTAGGCTGTGGGCATTTGCTGTTGAAAGAAAAAGATGGTTCAGGTGTCCTGGACTAGGACCTGGTTAGAGCTGACAGCAGGAAGATCTCAGTCCCACTTAGGAAAAAGTCTGAGCTAGGTCAAAAAGTGACCTAGGACGCAGGCCAAGAATGCTTGGAAATGTGGGACAGGGAATTTTGTCTGGTCTGAGCCACATCTAGGCCCTGTGTGGGAAGATGCCATTGAGGGACCTGCACAATCAATCCCTACCAGCTGCCTGACTCGGGACCACAGTGAGCGCTTTAGAAGTCCATGCTTTGGCATGGGGGCCCTAAGCCTGGGCTCTCTCCTCTCAGTTTAGAGCGCAAATCCACATGGGCAAAGGGGCAAAAAAGAGAAGGAATGCGGTGTGCCTTGAACTCTGTTCCATGTAGCTTGTAATACAGTGGCAATGCCCAATGTGCCTAGAAGGTGACATACCTGCCTGGGAGCTGGCAAGGTGAAGCATCTACCAGTCTGTACAAAGCAGCTGGAAACAGGCACTGCATCCTTGGAACTCTGCCACCTGCCAGAGGACATGCCCACACTCAGGCACTTCACAGGAGGGAGCAGGAACCCCATCAGCAAGGCAGTGGCAGGATGATGGGCAGGATGATTTAGCCAACTTCAGCCAAGTTCCCGGCTTTGATCTGGTGCTAAATGCATAAACAGAGCCAAGGCAAGGTTGGACAGTGTACAAAGGTGTGGACAAGCCCTGTGGATGGTGTAGTGATTCCAGCCATGCCAATACAGAGAATAGCATTCCCCAAGCCAATGCTGCATGGCATAGGTATAACAACAATGCACTTCCAAGATGAAAGAACTCATCCTGTTAGAAAAAACAACTTCACTCTGTGTCCAGGCAACAGGCAAGCTTATGAGGGACAAACCACAGCGCCAAGGATGAGTGCCACATGCCATCTTGTGCATGCTAGGGGGTATTCTGCCCCTGCTTAGCTGCCTCAAGCAAGCAAAGGCAGAAACAATGCCACAGTGGCAATCCCATCCTTTTTGAGTTCAGCAGCTGGTTCTGGAGCACGGGACTGAGAAAGCTGCCTGGGATAAAGACACATACCTGAGACACAATATATTGGGAGGAAGGACACTGCTTGCTGTCATTTGACATGGCAAGAAACTTGGTTGGAAGCGTTCGGAAGATAGATGGTACTTTGGGGGGGGAGCAGACCCTCCTCCCCATGTGCTGGATTTCACTTCCCTTAGCCTGTGAGCCAACAGGCATCTGCATTTACCAGCTGGCTTTGTGACGCTGCTGCCACTAGAGGAAAAGGCAGGCAAGGGCCAGTGGGGGAAAACAACGGACAGAGACGTAAAGCTGAAAGATGAGTGGGTGGAGGTACACTGTGTTTCACCTCTGAATGACGCTAGATACCCTCTTCCAAGCCAATGGCCTGAAGCCCTACTCTCAGGAAACACTTGCTTTTGCTTTAGACTCCAATCCACCTCCTTCTTAAAAAGCTGCCACAGCCTAAAGCAAGGCATACTAATGGTTAGCTTAAACTCTACCCAAAGCATGAAAATGAAGACACCGTGTGGAGCAAGTTCAGGTTACACTGAGAACTTCATCTGTGTTTCAAGTCCAGAGCTTAAGGTGTCCATAATATCCACTGTCTGCAAAGAATACAGACTGAACAAGAACTTTCATGATTGAACATCAAGAAATGCAGCACTGAAATAAGCAGTCTACTCTGCTTTATGCTTAGGCACTGTTACATACAGACTACTTTTGGGTGGCTGTTTGAAAATGCATTGTCAAAACTGGTTCAAAAAAATTGGTGCTTCCTTGATGTTGCAAGTCAAGACACATGGGTATTAGATACGGCTCTGATTTCCAGTCACAGTGAGTTGTAAAACCAGGAAGCCATAGATTATAACTGTTCTTTAAACATCTTGTGCTCTTCTTCACCCACGTGAGAGGTCCTTAAAGGCTTCTCTTCTTCATTGGAGAGCTTAAGTTGGCATTGCTTGTAATAGAGATGGTTGGTTGCAAATACAGATGGTCTCGTGGGTGGCTGTCTTGGTCATCGTGGTCATGAAGTTTAAAATCTTTGACGATACAACTGTTAGCAGTGCTACTACCCTGGATTTTAGGAGACCAGACTTTAGGCTGCTCAAGGAACTAGTTAATAAGGTCCCCTGGGAATGTGCTTTTGAGGATATTAGGGTCCATAAATGCTGATCACTTTTTAAGGGCCTTCTTTCAAGAGCACAGGAACAGGCAATTCCAATGCATCTGAATTCAAGCAACTGAGGCAGAAGGCTGGCTGGGCTGAATAGGGATCTCCTGCAACTTAGGTGGAAAAAGAAAGTGTATGGACTTCGGAAGCAAGGACAGGCTACACAGGAGGACTACAGACATGCTATTCACCACTAAAGGGAGAAAATCTGTATGGCCCAAGCTCAGTTGGAATTGAAGCTGGATGGTACTGTGGTGGATAACAAAAAAGGCTTTTTAAAGTATGTTAACAGCAAAAGGAAGACTAAAGCAAACATTGGTCCATTACTTGATGAGGTTGGTCACCCCATCCCCAAATAAGGATGAAGATAAAGCAGAGACATTTAATGCTTTCTTCACCTCTGTCTTTAACACTGATGATGGGCCCTGGCATGGCTGGAGCCCTGCAACTGGGGAGTGATAAGCTCCCAGTTGACTTTGAACTTGTACACGATTTGCTGCTGCAACTGAACGCACACAAGTCTATGGGGCCCGACAGAATTCATCCCAGGGTACAGCAGAGTTGGCCAATGTTATTGCAAGACCTCTCTCTGTTATTTATCAACAGTCTTGGGAATCTGGAGAGGTCCCAGTTGACTGCAAGCTGGCAAATGTTGTCCCAATTTTCAAGAAGGGCAAGAAAGACGACCCTGGTAATTACAGGCCTGTTAGTTTCATTCTGGTGCCTCGTAAAATTACGGAGAAGATTATTCTGGGAGTTATTGAAAAAGACTTGAAAGACAATGAAGTCATTGGTCAAAGCCAGCATGGGTTCATGAAGGGAAAGTCATGCCTTACTAACTTAATAACCTTTCATGACCAGGTTACCCCCCCTAGTGTACAAAGAGAAGGCAGCAGATGTGGGGTTTTTTTGGATTTTAGCAAAGTTTTTGTTACTGTCTCTCACAGTATTCTTCTGGACAATGTCCAGCATTTAGCTAGACATGTACACAATACAATGGGTGAACAATTGGCTGATGGCTTGGGCTCAAAAGACTTGCAGTAAATGAGGTAACATCTAGCTGGTGGCCAGTCACTAGTGGAGTTCCCTAGAACCTAGGGCCAGTTCTCTTCAAAGCTTTTATCAATGACCTAGACACAGGCCCCAAGTACACACCAAGCTTGCCGACAATACTAAATTAGGAGGAGCTGTTGATTCCCTCGAGGAGACAGGGGCCTTACAGAGAGATCTTGATAGATTAGCATGCTGGGCACTCACCAACCATATGACATTTAAGAACAAATGCCAGATTCCACACCTGGAATGGTGTAATCCTGGATGTACGTATAGACTGGGGGACAAGAGGCTGGAGAGCAGCCCTGCAGAAAGGGGTCTGGGTGTTTTGGTTGATGGCAAGTTCTATGAGCCAAAAACGTGCCCTGGCAGGCAAAAGGGCCAACGTTATCCTGGGCTGCATTAGGCACAGTATAGTTAACTGGTCAAAAGAAGTGATGGTCCCACTATACTCAGCACTGGTCCAGCCTCACCTTGAGTACTGTGTGAAGTTTTGGGCTCCACAATGTAAGGAGGATATAAAAACGTGTCCAAAGGAGGGCAACGAAGATGGTGAAAGAGGGCATAATTTATGAGGAGCAGCTGAGGATACTAGGTTTGTTCAGCTTAGAGGAGACTGAGGGCTGACCTCA